AAGCCAGTCCATGATCGCCTGTAGGATCCCTGGACGGCTGAGGTTCCCCATCCGCGCTCGTTACGTAATCAGCGCAATCCACTTACTCCAAGTGGCATCAGTTGCATGATGGGTTGAGGGAACCTTTCCCTTGAACATCCAGTTCAGCACTGGCAGTCGAGGTGCCAGAAGGAGCTGTGTTTCAGTGCCAATTACTTCAGGAGCAGCCCGAACCCCTTCATACGCGGCTAAGATCTCCTTTTCAGTTGGAGTGTAGCCCTCTTCTGACCCCTTGTAGGCCCGACTCCAGAATCCCAGGGGTTGGCCTCGGGTCTCTCCTGAGGCTCTTTGCCACAAACTCCAAGTGGGACCTTTCTCTCCAGCAGCAGTGTAGGGGATGTTCTTTACATCCTGTCCCATCCGTACTGGCCCCAGGGCCACGGCACGGGCTCTCTCTTGCTTCATCTGCTCAAAAGCCTGCTGCTGCTCAGGACCCCACACAAAGTCTTTCTTCTTCCTCGTCACCTGATAAAGGGGGCTTACAATGAGGCTATTGTTTGGAATGTGCATTCTCCAGTAACCCGCTACACCCAGAAAAGATTGTGTCTCTTTCTTATTAGTGGGTGGAGACATGGCAGTGATTTTGTCAATCACATCTGTCAGGATGTGACAACAGCCATCTTGCCACTTTTTACCTAGGAACTGAATTTCCTGGGCAGGTCCTTTCACTTTGCTTTGCTTAATAGCGAAACCAGCACGCCGAAGGTTCTGGATTATTTGCTCTCCTTTCTCAAAAACTTCCTTTGCTCTGTTGCCCCACACAGTGATGTCATCAATGTATTGTAAGTGCTCAGGAGCACCACCCTATTCCAGTGCAGCTTGGATGAACTGTTGGCAAATGGTTGGGCTATGTTTCCACCCCTGGGGCAAACGATTCCAGGTATACTGAATGCCCCTCCAGGTGAAAGGAATGGAGAAAAAGGCATTAGCAGTGTCAACGGTGGCATACCATTTGGCTGCTTTTGACTCAAATTCATATTGGAGTTCTAACACGTCTGGCACAGCAGCACTCAGTGGGGGTGTGACTTCATTCAGGCCACGGTAGTCCAACGTCAGCCTCCACTCTCCACTGGCTTTATGCACTGGCCATATGGGGCTGTTAAAAGGCGAGTGAGTTTTGCTGATCACTCCCTGACTCTCTCATTGACGAATCAACTTCTGAATGGGGAGCAAGGAATTCCTGTTGGTGCGGTACTGCCGTCTGTGCACCGTTTTTGTGGCAATTGGTACCTGTTGCTCTTTCACTCGTAGCAACCCCACAACAGACGGATCTTCTGATAGGCCAGGCAAAACAGACAACTGCTTAACACCTTCTGTGTCTATAGCAGCTATTCCAAAGGCCCATCGATACCCTTTGGGATCCTTGAAGTATCCCCTTCTGAGGTAATCAATACCAAGTATACAGGGAGCCCCTGGACCAATCACAATAGGATGCTTTTGCCAGTCTTTACCAGTGAGGCTGATTTTGGCCTCCAACATAGTCAGCTCTTGGGAACCCCCAGTCACCCCATGAATATAAATTGATTCTGTCCCTTGTCAGCTAACAATATCCACTTCCAGAGGGTAAAGGCCTGGTTCTGGCATGTACTAATGCCCCTGTCAATGGCTGAGTCCCTAGAAATGCTACCCAGTTGGTGATCTTCTCTACTATCTAGTGACACACTGTTGGCCCCATTGTCCCAACATCGAAATAACCAGGTGACTATAGACTCATTTGGGTGGCGTGAGAAGTCTTTTCTCACACTTCGAATTTCGTTCATTTTCAGAGATCAATCAACAATGGTAACGATATCTTGCTCACCTCTTACTCTTTCAGGACTTCTTGTTGCCCTTATAGGCGTTGATGACCG